CCCCCCTCCTCCTCCCCACCCGGCGCGCTGCTCGCTGGCCGCTGCGGCCCGGCGCGCTGTGCGGGCGCGCGCGCGCGTCAGTCGAGCGCCAGCCGCTGCGCGTGGAACAGGCCGTCTCTGCGTCGCTCCGCCGGCCGCCCGTGCCTCCTCTCGTCGAGAGCGCGTCGTGTGTGCGAACGTCAACTCTACCGGCTAACCCGACCAGGATAACTAAAACGACAACGGGCAGGATATCCGAGTGCTACTGTGTGTGGTGTTTTCAAGCTGTCGGCGAGCTCGCACCGCATCCCAAAAAGAAATGCCGAGCGATATTGTGTAAATTGTGCCGCTGTGGTGTGTTGTGGTTTGTGAGTGTGTGTGATCCAAGTGATATTTATGATAAAGTGACGACGACACTGAAACTGAGTGTCGTGACATAAAGTGCTCTCAACTCTACGAAAAGCACGGGGTCCAAACCCGTGCTGCAACACCCTCCCTTTTGGATTACTCTTGGAATATATTTCTCTCATCGCGACACGGATTACAACAGCGTCTTATATGGTGAGTTACCACTTCTCTGTCTGTGTTTTGGACGTGCCGATGTGTATGTGTATTTGGCACACATTAGGTCTTAAACGTTCTTTAAATGTCATTGAGGAAAGGAGGTTATGCGACGCTCACAACCACAGAGCCCCTTGTTGACATATCGTACGCGACCTCCCAGACTCGAACGGCGTCCCTCGACCGACGGGGCGGCGGGGCGGCCAAATGCGTGGCCGCCGGCATTTCAAAGGGATTCTTGTTGCGGAGATTAAATCGAATTTCACACCCTTGCTCGGGAATTAGGAAAACGACGACTTTCCAAAGCATAAATTACCAGCCAGGGCCCAGCGCTCTATCGCGATTGTAATTGGCGCCGCTGTGGTGGACACCCCCTCGCCGCCCCCCCTCTCTTTCTTTCTCTCTCTCTGGTCTTTCCCCCTCATCTCCATCATCATCCCCTAGGCAGTGTGACGTAGACCCAAGAAAGTGAGCGAAAACACACTCTCTTCGTTATCTAAATCGCTGATTTATGCATAACTAAGGCGGCTCTGGCGGAGGTGGTTGGTTGTTGTTGTAGACCTCTCTGCTGCGGGGTTGCGGGATAATGCCGCGGACTCGATGCACGCTGTTGTTGTGGCGGCAGGTGTGTGTGAGAGAGAGAGAGAGAGAGAGAGAGAGAGAGAGAGAGAGAGAGAGAAGGAGGAAGGGGCACTCTGTTTTTTAAATAGCGGCCCGACACGCGGCCAGCGCCCCGCCCCCCTCGGGGGCGTCAGCCGCGTCGGCCGCGCGGCACAGCCTAGGTGACACGCATTGACGCGGTGTTTATTTTCGATTCATTAGTCGGTTTGGCGGCCGGTCGATCCTGGACGGGAAGTAGCCCGGCCGTAAACACATTTCTCTCCCCCTAGCTTGAAAGTGGTGTATATACGGGCACTGTCACTCTTATCTTCTTTTATTTGTTTTCACTCGGGCTAGCACAGCAGTCTGATTTCCATAGCGTACGTGAGGTTGCTGTCAACCCTGTCACAAAAAAACCCCTAAGTGCCCCTAGGGTGGTGTCCCCTGGTAGCTTGTCGGAAGGATAATGCACCCAAACCAAATTCGTATTCCACCATGAAAAATTGTAATTGCTTTTGCGGGCACTAGACCGCTTGGAAGAAGTATTGTGTGAAAATAAGAAGTTCTATACGACAGGTTTCCATAATCTTCCTCTCTTTACTTGAAGTCGCGTTTAAAGCGTATGTATAGTTGTGTGTGTTGATTTTAGGCTCAGTGTAGACGAGTATTCTGTTCCTCGAGGGGGGCGGGTTCCTTGCCCCCGGCGGCCGAGCGCTCCGCGCGACCGTGTTCGCGTTGAAGGGCGCGAAAACGATATCTCGTCTCTGTGCCTCTGATTTCTGCACCATCGTAGTGGCGGGGTCGGGTTCCATTGAGCGGGAAGTGGAGGTGTCGATTCAGCTCCGAGTCCTCTGGACGGTAGAGAGAGAGAGAATAGTAGAACTGAACCGGAGAGCGAGGAGAAACTATAGCAGCAGAAGCAGGATATTAGCAAAATGCGATTTAGACGTCGTCCGGGAGGTAAAAGGTTTGGGGATGGTTGTAACAGGACACGGCCGACGACACGACTGCGACAGTTTCGCGCGGGAACATCGTCGGCCCACCGGCCGCACCAGCCGGGGGGAAGCGACGCTGAAAACGGAAACTCGACGGGTGTTGAGTCGTCGCGACTCGCGCCGAAAAATCAGCATCCGCCGTGCGGCCGAAGGATACACTGCACAGTATGTGGGTGGGAGGGACCCTTGGCGAGGGGTGGGGGTCTTTTGCTGACCGATGAGGGGGTGGCTTGGCCGGGACGCGGAAGTTTTGGCACAGTCCCTTTTGACAGGATGTGTGCTGGCGAAAAACTCCTCGTATATGTGTTTGTTCGTGTGTGAGTGTGTTTAGGTACGATCGGCCGTGTGTCCTCGTGCACTACTGTGGCGAGCGGTTTTGGCCTTGAAACCGAAAGCGCGCTCTTCTCCACGCTGCGTTTCCCGCGCGCGCGCGCGCGCTGGGCGCTGCGCACAACACAACTTTGTGGAGAGGAGAGGGTCAGATGGGCGAGAGGGGGAGGGGGAGAGAAGGGGTTCGAGGCCCAACTGGGTGAGCGACGCCGGAAACGTAGTAGTTTGGAAGCGCAGTGACTCTTCAGGCGATGGCCGTTCCGCTCCTGCCCACTGCAATGAGTTTTCGCCGTACTGCCGCCGCGGCCACCGCTGCAGCAGCGATTGCCGCAGCTTCTTTCTCGCCCGCCCGTACTGTACGTACGACGGCAGTGGCTCGTGATTTGCCGCTGCAGCTGTAGCTGCTGGAACGTATCGAACGTGTACACTCCGCTTGACCTCAGCAGCAGCGCCTTTGGTTTAATACCATGGCTGTATGGGGGAGAAGTTTGTGTCCGCGCGGCGTGGTGGAGGGCCGTGCGTGTCACCATGGCGTCCGCCTACGCGACACAAAAGCGCGGGAAACTCCAGCACAGCTCGTTTTTGTTTCAATTTGACGTTTTGACGTGTGTCGCGTTGGCCGCTCCCTGTGCCGCTGCGCCGCGCGTGTATTGCGTGATTCAGACGTACTTATCTCGTATCTCACCTGGCGGCCCCCCGTCCGGCAGATAAAGTCTGATGACGGTCCGTTTGGAGGTGGACCCGGGGGGGAGGGGGTCGACTCCACGTTGAATCGTCCGCGACTGATAAGACAATCTGATTAGCGCGAGACCTCCAGAAACGCCTTTTTTTTCTCTGCTCACAAAGCTCCGATGACTGACGTGAGAGTGCCAACTCGCCCCCCCCCCCCTTCTTTCTTGTCTCTCTCATCTTCTTTTTCCTCATGGGGGGCTCAATTCTTTCGTTCGTGGTTGGGTTGGGGGTGAGGCGCGTCCCCGCCCCCCCCCCCCCCGCCCTGAAAGGTCAACGTCCTTGAGCGACCCCCCTCGAAAGGGGGCTCGGCGGTGTATAGGACAACCCCCCCAACCAGAGGGGGCTGCGCCCGGCTGCGCTACACCTCCACGTCGGGTGCAGTCCTCATGCACAACATGAAAGAGCGTAACAACTGTCGTCGCACACACGTGAACGTGAGTAGGCGGGATGATGGTTCGATCAAGGCATTCCCCTTCAAGCGCAGACAATAAAACTTTTGCTTTATTATGCATGTCATACCGTACCGGTGCGTTGCACTTGAAAATCACACAATAGGAGTCGGAGAAAGCCTCTACTTCTGTCTTTCTTTCTCTGGTCGTAGGGCGCGCCGCTTCTGCGGACGGGAGCGAGCGAGAGAGGGTTGGCGGACGGACGGAAGGGGAGGCGAAGGGCGCACCGCACCGCGCCGCGCGCGCGTTTTTTCGACAGCCCACCAACACCGCGCGTCGCTCGCAGCGCAGGAATACATTTGTATCGCGGCACTGCGCTGCACGAAATGACATGTAAAGGGCGTTCTGCATGGGGAGAAGAAGGGGGGGGGGGAGCGAAGAGGCAGACAGACAGACCGACAGACATAGGGGGGGAGAAAAGAAGAAGACTAGGGCAAGGCGAATGGATAAAACATCGGTCGGAAACGACACACCTGCAGAGCAGTTGACGCCCATTGGACCGTGCGAGCGCCGCGGCTCGCTCAGTTTGAAAGGGGGCCCG